TGTGCATTCATTTTATTTATTTAGGTTGAAAATGTTCGCCATAGAAGGTTAGTTGAACATTTTCAAGATTATTACATAAAACTTAAGATTAAGAGAATAATAACGCAGAGATACCATCCAAAAGCTGAATAAAGTAACGAATATTTGAACTGCACAACATTCTGTTTGCGTGATATCACTTTCTGGATTTATATTAACTAAATCACTCAAGCGGATTTCCCTGTATTCGATTCTGGAAGTCACTAATTTATGGAATCTTAATGTATATACCTTAATTTACTGTATATGATATAGTTTTGCCAACAGTCCTAGTGAAAGTAAATTCCAACGGTAATTAACTTCAAATACATTTACAAATTCTTTGTAAAATTATATTACATTTGGTTAAACTTAAATATCTAACTATGTACCTCTACAACGCCACAGTAATTGACCTACTAGTCATTAAAACATGGCAAGTTAGCAAACATGAAATCTCTGATAACCAAAGACAAAAAAACTCTGACTTCCTCTAAATTACTGGGATCTACTATCAAATGAAGCATAAAAAAATACTTAGATTTTAAAATAAAAATACAAAATCCTAGTGAACTAATGTTATGTAAAGTTTTCACACTAAAGTTTACATGACTCAATAAGATGTCAGTTTTGACAAACCGCTTAGTGTCTGATGTCTTTACTGCCCACCACAAAAACAATCATTCAGCACATTTAAGTGCGATATTCAAGGAGTTCGACTGAGTTTCAGTATACTGTTTTCTTCTGGTCCTACTAAAATCACAAAATCCCTAGTCAGACAGTCGACTTTAAATCTAAAGACTGTGAATCATTTCTGTTGGCTTTCTGAGGCTGTGTACGTAAGTGATGGTGGATCAGTGTGAAAAAAGTAATTCATCTTATTTAGTTACTTCCTTTTTTATCTTCCTTTGTTTCAGTTTTCAACTCAAATATCCAAGAAACTCAACAACATACAGGTACTGAAATGGTAAAACACATCTAGATTTCAATAATTTACAATTTTTTACAATATATGGAAGACTAAACTGTTTGTTAGCATAATACAGGTAGAGTGCTCAAGGAAAGTACATTATCTTTCAAGAGTTGTTTTGACACACTTTCTTCTGTACTTTGATTCATTTGATAGATATCGAGTACTGCAAGAACTCGCTAAACAAGAACCTAATTAGAAACGGGATAAGTGGGTGATGCAGTAAAAGTTTTGATGGGCGACTATAAGGAATGAACTTGGGATTTTAAAAATGGTATTTTCACCTGTTGTATAGTATGTGATCCAGAGGATAATTAAATTCATCGCAAATGTTCCCTTGATGGGAACCATCTAATAAATATAATTATTAACTAATGCTTAGTACCAGAAATAAAAAAAATCAGCGTACTGATAAGGAGTCCGAAACTAGAACGAAACAGCAGTCCGATACTCCCGTTGGTTTTCCAATGGTTCTCTAACCGATTTCAGTTCATGATGAAATCCTGAACCTATTGTATCTGTGCAACTCTATGCAGCATATCGTTACCTAGCTTCGTCCAATATATCTGTCACAACAACAGTATAACTTCATTTATGTTTGCTGACTAAGTAGAGAGCGCCAAAACATTCCATCATTGTTACGTGAATACTTGCATAGCACTGGATGCATCTTGAAAGCTCCTGTATGATTGACACGCGAACCAAAAGAGAACTTTTCACAGATGTGCTTCAGTTCAGTTAACCACAAGTCAAAAAGAACACATCATAGAACAGAAATAATAAACAGATGTAATCGACAGAATTATAAAATGTAGCGAAGATTTTCAAAGTTGTGAAGTCATGATGATGTTCGAAAAAGGTAATAATTTAATAAAGATTAATGAGGGAAATCACAATGATAAAGGCGAAAAGAAATGAATGCATCTGTGCTGTTATGATTAATTTTCTAACAATTCACCTAAAGTCTCCAACTAGTAGTTACTTAGCCTAATGAAGATCTAGACTGATTAGTACTAAGATCTCCATGCTCACCACAGCCAAAGGTCAGTTAGTTCATAAACTCAATCACTGCTTTCGTCCCACTGCTTCTAACTGTATTACAGTCGAATCATACTCCACTAAATGGAAAGAGTAGAGTGGTGGTGTGATACAGACAATGCATTCCAACAGGATATTATTATCACAGTAGGAATCACTGTATTTGTTGGTATTAACGCCTGAATACTATTCCCACAGTTCAATACTGCAATAGCAACAGAATACTATAGGTGTATTTGAACATTCTATATCATGTCGTTTAATGTAAACAAAATAACACGCTCAGTGATTGGTTAAAGAATATAAAATTATAAATATATATATATATATAAACAGGGGTTTGATCAATTGAAAATATACGTTTGCTACCGCGTCTTGCCTCTTACTGTTGAGGCGGTGTGGCGTATGCTACTGATAAGATTTATCAGTAGTATACAAGCAGACATTCAGCGGCTTAAAAATATCAAATAGCGGAATGATAGATTTGACGTCAAAGAGAGGAAATGAACCAGCGTTGCGGCAAAACACGGGAGAAACGAAAAGAAGACAAAGGAACACAATGTGAAGGGCAGAGGTAGCACAACACGAAAGATCTGTCCAAATGACGATTTGGAGAGGTCTACATATTTTTGCTATATAGAGATACCAAATTCCAAATAAACATTGCTTTACAAAATCTCTTGTCTTCTGTCGTTAAAGTGGTGTGGAATGTGTAACATGTATCCTAGCCACCTCATTTAAAGAATGTTCACAACTCACTGACTGATATACATTCTCTACCTGATATTCTACGTCTGGTCTCGATATTAATTTCTATTTCGTTTCATGTAATGTAAAGTACATTTGAACCTGTGATCAGTACTTATGATCTCTTCACAACTTCCACTTCCAAAAAACATGTATCACAAACGTAGACTGGAACGTGGTCAACCTTCTCAAGATACATTCCAACCTTTATAGCAAATAAAGTATTAAATCGACCCCAAATATGACGTATCTTAGCTTATTCTGAGATTACGTTGGTGCTGATGTGGCTTATTAAAGTGATGAAGTGGCCAGCGTCATCGATGAGATTAGCTTTTGACTCTGAACTAAGAGGCGGTGGAAACCAGATTCAGGATGGAATCTTATACTTAATGGAAGGGAGCTACATGTCGAACATGCTCAGAATTTTTCTCAAAGTATTGAAAAGACAGCTTTTCGTCAGTCTTTACCTGAAAGGACTCTATCATCTGAGTACTCCAGGTCATGAGGACTCTTCCCTAAAAATAAGTGAATCATGGACAAATAAAAGCTGATCATAAGCTCATCTATAGTCAAATCACATGAATATACTGAAATCTAATATCCGTGGTTGATACCATTGGTTGTGTTATCTTCAGATGACAATTCTCAATAAGCTCTTATACTGCTGAGTTGATTCCAGTAAAATACATTGATCAGCCACATATGCAATCTTGGTGCTCCCTTTACATTCAAACACTATCAAGTTACCTCTCAATCAAATGTACTAAGTAATACTTTCACGTCAAAAATGTGACAGCTTTAGGAAGCCAACAGAACTATAGGGATGCAGAACCTGCTGCATGATCAGCATCTGATCATGACTTTCACAGCCGAGCTTGAAACCTGTGGGATTTTCACAGTTTTTTCTCAATCCTAATTCAGCTAAGTTGGTGAGAAGCAGCAGGCCACTTGAATTATCCATCAAATTGGTCTGCTCAATGTTCCAAATGTCTTTTTTGTGGAGTCTCATCATTCTAGAGTACTGTTCCACCTATCAAAGCTTTCCTAAGATGCGTTTCCGTAACATGGCTAAGGAGTTGACAGTTAGTATCCAAAACTGGTGCCCATTATGTTTCCTATTCTTTTAAAACTCGACATTATTCTTGGCAACTTCGAAGAATTTTACTTAACCTACGTCACTTTCAGATTTTGCTGAAGTATGCCCAGTCAGTTGGGATAGAACGACAGGAACTCTCCTCCTTTGAACAACCGTTGGTTGTGGGCTATCAAATGCTATCATTATCGTTTTTAAAACAGACCGGGAGTAGTATATAACTGGTAGATGGTGGCTAGCAGTGGAATCCAGTAGTAGTAGGGAGTAGTATCAAGTATCTTCAAAATGAATATCATGGCTATGCTCAGATCAACGTTTAACTGATTGCTTCACAAATGCTCATATCCGAATTGAAAAGCAAGAAGTGGAGGGGCTGTGGAGCTGTATGTTTTCTATATCCATTCACTCGTGGACACAAACGCAAGATTAATGCAGTGAGTAAGCAGACACAAATGTTCCATAAAATTGACAGTCATCTATCGACCCTCTACATCTACTATGTATAACAAAGTAATATACACGTGTTTATCATCAGTCTCTTGTAGGCCATCAAATGGAAGTCTTTCTAATGTTAGCTCATGATGAAATCCTGTAACCAATCAAATCCCTACAAACCAACACTTGAATACCAATGAGATGCGCACTGGCGACTGGCGCTATTCAGGTAGGTAGTTACCTGGGTTCCAGTGGGAAGTCATGACCAGTAGGGTGCAGAGGGTCGGGTGTGAGGACAAATACTCGCCGAAGACATTGGCTAGCGGTCGCGCTATGTCGTGAATTGGCAGAAGTTAGAATTCAAGGACCATTGGATCGAGTCCAAGTGGCTTAATGGTATACGAGCTCGCCTTGTAACCAGAAGGTCCTGTGTTTGAAGCACGGTGTGTGCGTACTGCTGAAGAGTCCCAAACCAGGAAGAAACGGCTGTCCAGTACTCCCAGGTTTTCCAATGGTTGTCTAACTAATGTCAGCTCATGATGAAATCCTGTAACCGATCAAATCCCTACAAACCAACACTTGAATATGGAATATATGTTAGCTTATTTACATTCTTCAATAAAGTAATAGAACACTCAACACACACACACTTGAACAGATTTTCATCCACTTCTTAAGTACGCTAATTGTGAAACTCACTTTACCACTGCCAACTGTACCAACAACAGCAACGAGTTGGGGACCAAAAACTTCATAATTTACTTGATGTAGATTATAAGCACTTGCACTCTACAATTCAAAAGAAAAACAGCTATAAAGTATTCATTCATCACAGTTCACATTTCAGCTTTATATTCAGAAAGTTTTTTTATTAATGCAGTAAAAAGCCGAAAAATATCTACTGAATAAAGGTAAAATCTTTAATTCAAATAAAAGAGGTGTAATCACACATAGTTTTTAGCTGAATTAAAGAGTTTGGCTTCTTGTTTTCTGTGCTTCACTATATTCATCTGTCACATGATACCTTTTTATCTGTGCATATAACGTTTTATGAAATAGATTACTAAAACAGCTTGTAAGACATGTCTGACAATCAAATCTCTTTCAGTTCTCAAGAAGTATGCAAAAGTATCAGTTAAGTTAGGTTCCTAGGATCATTTTTAGTCAGCTTTATTTTGGTTTGCACAAAATCCACTGATTTGGTAGATCAATAAAATACTGCACAACTTAATGTCATTTATTAGAGGTGGTAGATGAGAATTATTTAGCTTAAACGGTTAAGACCCATAAAACATGTCGGCTAAGATCAGAAGACTTAAGAAAACTACACATTTTATGGTAGAAGTCCCTGATGTCACTTATGAAGTGTTGAAGCTTCATTTGAATTTACATTTAAAGCTGTCCATTGCTTGCGTGAAGTTTACCGCTCATTATTAGTTATACAGACTCTTCAAGTGCATTAGAACTATTTGCTATAAATGTGGTGCTACCTGGCACAAAATAATTATAAATGCTTGAAAATGATAACAGTTGATGAAAAGTCAAACCAGTAACTCTTTCAGTCATCGGTTGACTGATAATTTATTTCAGGATTTCATCATGAACTGACATCGGTTAGAGGACCATTGGAAAACCTGGGAGTACTGGACAGCTGTTTCATCAACCAGCAGTACAAACCCACCGCTAGGGTTCGAAGCCACGACCTCCCGATTAAAAGGCGAGCTTGTAGACTATTAAGCCACTGGGACCCAATCCAATGGCCAGTCCATGAGTTCCAACTTCTGCCAATTCACGATATAGCTCAACTGGCACTAGCAAATGTCATCGGTGAGTATTTGTTCTCACACTCGACCTGCTGTAGCTCACTAATCACGACTTCTCACTCCATCCCTATCTACCTGAACACGGCCAGTCACTAGTGGACATCAGACTGATATTCGAGAGTTGGTGTGCAGGGATTTCATTGGTTTCAATGGATGCGTACCAATGAATAGTCCCAAACTAGGCTGACGAAACAGCTGTCTAGTACTCCCAGGCTTCCAAATGGTCCTCTAATCGATGTCAGTTCATGATGAAATCCTGAAACCAATCAACTCCCTGCAAACTAACACTTGATAATTTATTTGATAAACAAAAATAAAACAACACGAAATAAAATTTCAGATGAATGCATCTTCTCTTTAGGTGACAAATATCGAATTATTATTCACTTGTCTGCTCCCATTAAAACCATATTCGCCTTTCTTATTTGCTTATTAAATGACTTTCGGCTTTATATATCTTCATATCATATCATTTTGTGAGTTATGGTGTGATAAACTCACTTAATTACACACCAATCATGATGACAGAATGTAAAGCTTATTCTATGTCTATAACTCGTAATTGTAAACACCATATTTTCTGTAAAAAACATTCGTTTAACATGAATATCAGTCAGAATAAAACAGTGCAATGGACTTAACAGTCAGTCTCACAGTTAAATGCAAAAATTAGATTATTAATTCTTTAATAGTGAAATTAATTATTGTACCATCTATGCTTGCACTTTCATTAAGTAGATTATAGCCTCTCTGTTTATATGAAATCTCTTCTTGAGAAAGCACTCTTTTCTCTAAGTGTTTTTTTTTTAATTAAACGCACTGTAACTCCAACAGACCCAGAGATTATTTCAAGCCTATCTGAAGTTTTATGATTGACAAGTAGTCATTCATACATTTGAAGTCACCAGCATTTTATAATACACAACTGAGCTATAACAATTTTTCTCAATGAGGAGCTTAAGATTATTAGAGAATTACTTAGAAAAAATGGTTATCCAGATAAATTCATTGAGAAAAATATGAATTCAGCACCAAGGAGAGTCAGTATGGCTACAGTTCCGAAAAAACCAATGTTCATAAAATTGCAGTTCCTCGGTGACAACATCAGCGAAATAATAACACAGTGCCTGAAGAATGCAGTTAAAAGAGCTTATTATGCAGCTGAGGTACGTTGTCTCTTCACAACCACCCCTATTATATGTTCGAGAAATAAGGATATACTACCTAAATTCGCCTCTTCTATGTGTATCTACCAGTTTGATTGCAGCTACGGAGCCAGCTACATTGGGCGTACAATTAAGCAAGTTCATCGTCATATCTCCGAACATCGTCCAACGTGGTTAAGCAAGGGACAAACAAGATCTATTCGTAGTTCTATTTTAGCCCACCTCGTTGATACTGAGCATAAGGTTGATGTGAATACTGCATTTAAAATTATTTATCACATTCCGACTAATCTTAATTTTGCTCTGCGAGTTCGTTTTCTACAGACAGCTGAAGCAATCGGAATTCACCTGAAGAAGCCAAGCCTATGTGTCCCTACTGTGGCCATCGTCACAAGAATGCATAAACAGGACTCCGTCTCCCCCCTCCCCCTAAACCTATAAAAATTATAATTTTCTAAATTATTTACTTTATTTTTATTTATTTTGACCACTTCATCTTTAATTACGTGTTATCCTTGTAAAATTAACTTATTCTAACAATTTTTGCCTTTTAAATGTGTATTGATTTTCTTCGTTAATTATTAACCCATTGACATTTCGATACTGACTAATTATTGTTAACAAACATATCAGTGCCACTTGATTGGTAAATTGTTGTGTAGTGTAATAAAAATGCTATGGATATATATTAGAGTAGAGCCAGAGATGAGGATCTAATTGAAAAGTAAATATTTCTTCGCTCAATCTTTCTGTTTTCTAAATGTCTAAATGGGGATTTTTTCTATATTGCAATCTTTAATTGTCATATGACAAAATGGAGAAGATTTATAGCTCACGTTGATAACAATGAATTAGTTGTATACTCTGAGATGGTTGATTTGACTGCGAAGCTTTCGTCATCCCCTCCTCTATACCACATCTTCACCTTGGTTTTTAGTATAAAATGAACTCATATAGCTTCTCCGAGAGTGGAGTAATTGTATCTCCTGGCGACCACTGTCGTGACTCGTTGTTAATCTAAGTCTCTATTGTTCTCCATTATAGAGAAAATTTTATTTTGATAAAATCACACTATGCCAAACAGTAATATTCACTGATAACGTCTCGATCATAAATTATTACTGCTCATAATCATATCAAGGTACTCACTCACGCAACTTTCTTGCTTCATTTATATACATGAGTAAAGATTGATTAGACATTTAAATATGATCAATTGTGACTGGAAAATCCAAAAAAAAGCTAGAGAAGCAACCTTAAAGAAATCAAAAACCACGAAAATTACGAAATTCAACAAAATATTAGAAGAAAATAACTGCACAATAAATGAAGCTGACAACAATATTTCATCTTCTATTGACAGAACAAAGTGGATAATCAATCTCTCTTCAAGAGAATTTATCTCTAGTGGGATAAAACTACTTGAAAAAGGATTAAATTTCAATTAAGTGGTTAGCAACCCTAACATAGAAGTAGCATTAAGTCCAATAGATAAGACGACAGCAGAAGAGGTTCGAACTCAGTTTGCATTAACTCTTAAGAAAAAAAGAAAACAGTCAGACTTAACGAAATCAGAAAGATTGGCTCTAATCAATCTTAAAAATGATAAAAACATCGTCATCACAAAAGCTGATTAACGAAACTCTACAACAGTTTTGAATAAATCTAACTATATAAAGAAGGTTACTGAACACATTGAAACGAGTCCATATGAAGAAATTAAGACGCCTGTAGATACAGTAATGAGTAAGATTAAGAAATCTACATCGGATTCAATACGCAGTATGAAAGTGTCACTGGGCGAGTCTAAATGGTTTGAGGAAATGTCTAAAACTAATAATGCTAGTAGAATTTACGGTACTATAAAAATGCATAAACCAGGTTATCCCACAAGACCAAGAGTAGATTTTAGAAATACCCCTACTTATGAATTATCACAAAAACTTAGCTCTACTACTATGTCCTATTAGAAATCATTCAAACTCTAGGCTAACTAATTCGTGTGAAGTGAAAAGGAAACCAAATGACATTCAATTAGAAAATAATAATTTGATATAATTAGCCTTTACACTAACATTGAGATCAATATGGCCTTAGAAGTAGTTAAAAGAGAACTAACTGCTAATCCCAAACCTAGTCATAGGACGAAGCTGCTCATTGAGAAAATCATTTAAGGAATTCAGTTATGCCTCACATCTACTCTCTTTAAATTCCAAGGCAAAATATATAAACAAACAGACGGCGTAGCAGTAGGATCATCAATATCCCCTATCGTAATCCACATCTTTATGGACAGCTGGGAAAATATTGCTCTTAATTCATTTAATCCTTACTCCAAAAATATGGTGGAAATATGTGAATGACACTTTCACAGTGTTAAAAGCAGAACATATCTCTAGCTTCTTGACGCATTTAAACTCACAAGTAGAAGGAATAAAATTCACATTTAAATCAGAAAATGAACAAGGAGAATTAACTATGTTAGATTGTTAGATAAGAAGAATAGAAGAAGGCAAACTACACACTAATGTTGATAAAAATTCAACAAATTCTAATGGATATTTAGACTTCAATTCATCTCATTTGTTGTCTACAAAGGCTGGTCTAGTTAAATGCTTAACAAACGGAGCAATAACACTAAGTAGTACAACAAAAAACCTAATTGATGAAATAAAACAAATAGGAGAAGCGTCAGTGTTAAATAACTATCCTATGAAAAAATTCATTAGGAAGATCAGAAAAGGCCAAAGGCAAAATAAAAATAATGATGAAACTAATAATCATAACATAAATAAAAAAGAATATAAGGCATCTAATGTTTCACTATATAAGGATAGGACATCTGAGACCCCACGTAGGATTCCTTATAAAGTAGGAATTAGGGTGGCATTCAAACCTACAAACTCACCCACTGACAAGCTCTGTAGGTTTAAGGGCCCGGTGGACCCAATTAAACAAAGTAATATAACTTTCAAGATACATTGCAATGACTGTAAGTTAATTCAACTACATAGGTCAAACTAGTTGATCAGGAGTAGTCAGATTATCAGAACATAAGAATTTAGCTCAGGTTAGAATGACTGACTCCGCCAGGATTAGTAATTTGAAAAGCAAAACTCAGCAGTTGCACTGCATGCATAAAATAGCGTGGGACACAGTCAAAATTCTAAAACGTAATATAGGTAGGTGGAGAGCGTGAGAGGTTGATTACTGAATCCTGGTTCATCGAGTCTACACCCAATACATGCAAAAGAAGCGATTGAACGCAAATACCGGAGATATGGAAGATGGTATTACCAGTCAAATCAGAGGATAATAAATAATCTCAAAAGTTATTTCAATTCACATTCTAACATTCTAATAAGTCACTTATTTTTACTGTAAAAACATCTTATTTCCCATCTTATTGTATTTTGTTTATAATGCTAATATTATTTCCGAATGTACTGTATGTTATATTGATCATATTTAAATGTCTAATCAATCTTTACTCATGTATATAAATGAAGCAAGAAAGTTGCGTGAGTGAGTGCCTTGATATGATGATGCGCAGTAATAATTTGCGGTCGAAACGTTATCAGTGAATATTACTGTACAACATTGTGTGATTTTATCAACGTAAAATTTTATCCATAAAGGAGTTATACTCTACCCCAGTGCCCAAGTTTTATCCTTATGTATCTATTGATCGTTTTTATTCACTTGGAATTCGAACTTTCTTGTCATGTGATTTACTTCTTATTAGCTGGTGAATTTGGTGTATAGTTATATATTTGCTAATCGCTGGCTTACTCGCTTGAGCACCAGGCTTCTAGGAATTCCCTGATTGCATTTTCGGTGTTTCCTCTATTTAAAATTTCTAAATTATCCCAATCAGATTGGTGTTCATATTTACTTACATGCATTGATATGAAGGAATATATCATGTCTTTTTACAGCTAATTGGTGTTCCTGGATTTGGACTTGAAGGGGACGCCCACGTTGACCGATGTAATGTCTGTTACATTTCATAAAGTTTATTATTAAATGCTATTAATTTTATCTTCTTTTTCTGTTGGATCTTTGGTTTGCATCATATCGGATGAAGTAACTGTGGTGGTTGGCTTGTGTGCTATATCTATTTCAAACGGTCTTAATATTCTAGTTGTTATTTCGGAGATATCTTTTATATATAGTGGGATGAATTTTCTTGTAGTCTTTGATGACGGTTTCTTGTTGGTGTTGTTATTCGATTTTAAACACTTTTTGATGAAATTTTGTGGATAACCATTCTTTTTGAAGACTGTTAGTAGGTATTTTTCCTCCATTCTGTTCAATAGCGGAGAAGTGCTACAGTGTGTTTGAACTCTTTTAAACAATGTGTCTGTCTGCATGAAGTTTCTTCTGTGGGTAATCGGGTTACGACTACTGTGGTTGAGTATTTAGTCTGTGTGCATTGACTTTCTATACAGTTGTGTTTCTGAACTTCCTGTTAGTTCTCTTGTTTAAGATATCTGAGAATGGAATTTCGGTGTCTAATTCTTCTTCTCTTTTGAATTTGAAGTCTTCAAATATGTTGTTTATCAATTTATGGGTATACTCCAAACCATTTTTTTAACTATCATAAATCCACCCAGATCTGCGGTTTAATTATAGGTAGGATAATTAATTCTGATCTTTGTATGACATCTTCAACTTTCAGTCCTGATATGGGTGATCCCATTGGTGTTTCTTTAATCGTTCATGGGGAACTTAAATTAGTCCATTTTATATTAAGACCCCCATTGAAGATGTTCTCTTGAAGGACTAAGAAAGTTTCGCAATTAAGTCAGTTAACTCAGAGGACATGTAATTTCTAATTCCTTTGAAGGCATATTCTTCGTTGGTGGACAGCATCTATAATTATTATAGCACCACTATGAACGCTAAGCACAAAGTGAGGCGTAAATTTCATCCTAACTTCGTTTTTAATCACTGTTTGGATAACGGTTTGAAGGCATGATTAGGATTAGTATTAGGGTTAGGATCGAGGACTGGGTTGGGATTACAGTTAGTCTAAGGTTTTGATATGTATCCACATATATATATTTATGTGTGTGTATGTTGGTCTCTCTTTCTGTTTGCTCTCTTAGTCTGTGACCATTTCACTTGTATGAACCTGTCTCCTTTAACAATGTATATTCTCCTTATATTATATTATATATAATATGAGTGTTTGTTGACAGTCCGTTGCTTGGTAACATATATCCATATATGGTGGTTGTTGACATGTCTGCTATATTCCGCTATGTACATATGGATCGATACTTCATTATAATTAGCCATTCATGTTAAGACTGTCTAATGATTGTTCACACCCTTGTCTGAACATTGATATATATTTCGCTCTCACAATTTTTGTGTGACTGACTTACACTTACTTTGGTGTGATACCACTTATTGCTTCTCCTTGTGTTCGGAAAATAGAAGTATCATCGCAAATCTAGTGGTCTTCTGATTTCCGCCTTCTTGCGTCAGGACTATTAAATTCTCGACCAGTCCATAACAATAAATTAGCGACGATTACATAACAATTTGGCGACGGGGAAAACTACTATTAACCACTCAGCAGCAGCAACATAACAGGTTTACGACTGCTGTTGGGATTATGGTTAGGGTGTTTTGTTTTTATCATACATATTTTTCTATTAAGTAGTTTTAGGGTATCCGTAATTACTATCTGTATTTTTCTAGTAGGTAAAAATCATTTTTATTTAAAAAAACGCCATTTTTCTGATTGGTAGCCTCAAGGTCGGTCGTGCGCCCGCATCGCTAAGCGCCACCTTTATCGGACGGGTATTTGGAAGCTTTAAGTAATAGGCCAAAATGTACCAGAGTGATTTCATGGAAATTCACTAATACATATTTAACTTTTAAACTTAATTTTTTTACTCCTATACGTTCCCATTGGAACATATGGCTTCAGGTTAAAGCTTCGGGGTCTCAGCAGCAGTGGTGCTTTTTATAAAATGAGGTTGCTAGTCACATGCCCAACCTTCCTTCTTTACATGGATTACTACAGGCCTGGTGAGGTAAAGAAGTGCACCGACCAGGGATCGAACCCTGAACCACTTGCGTGACTGATCAGTGTTCTACCACTGAATCATTGAAACACTTGACTTGTGAACTTTTTACCTCCCTTATTCCATTATATTGTGGAGTTATCAATGTTAAGCAACATTCTCTGATAAAAGTGCAGCAGATGTAACGCAGTTTGGGAATATAATACCGTCGACAATATATGCGTCAGCAAATATATTTTTAGCGCAAAATGTCATTTTAAAATATTTGCCATGGAGTTATAAAAAGCATCATTTTAGTTACTGGACCTCATTGTAATTTGACATTGGTTAAAGAACCACTGGGAAACCTGAGAGTACTGGACACCTGTTTCGTCCTAGTTTGTGATTGTTCATCAGTACAGACTCACTGAAGTTAGAACCCAGGACCTTCTGGTTACAAGGCGAGCCCGTAGACCATTAAGCCACTATCACACCGTTCCATTGACTAGTTCATGAATTCCAGTTTCTGCCAACTAACGACTTAGAGCGACCACTAGCCAATGTCTTCAAAGAGTAACCAATCAATTAAATCCCCACAAACTAATACCTGAGAATCATTTTACATTACTAGTGTCTTTTCAATTAAATTTACCAACAAGCAAACAAACGTAAATCTGTACATTAACTTACATCCTTCCACTTTGCACAAACATTAGAAAATTGGACAAAAGGTTCAACTGATTCAATTACTTCCGGTGGTATATCGGCTCCAAGTTCAGGTAGGAACAGAAAATCCTAAAAAAGGCATATAAGTACTCTTATGACTCTATAGTTTTTAAATTACTGTGTAAATGTGTGCTGCTACAAAAAAGTATTAGGTTATTGATCGTTTTACTACGTAATAAGTTTTTTATTCAATAACTACCTTAAAAATGTCTTTTCGTTCTCATTTACCATATAGAAAACTCAGAAGTCCAAGTTTTCAATAAACTTTTGTTTTGTAATTTCCAGTAAAACATCATACAACAATCCGGAGACATTCTAGATGTTTGAAGTGAAGCAATTTCATATTGTTCCAAAATAATGAATGACTAAACCGTAGAATCACAGTAATACAGCTTTGTTAAATAATATTATGCGATTTAGTTGGTAAATGGTGACTAGCAGTGGAATCCAGGATGCACATTTCGTTCTATATGGAACTCATCATCTGAATGTACCTGCATTTCCAGTGAGTGGCGATGTTCCCACCGAGGCTCGAATCTAGTGCTCATAGTTTCAAACTTCAAAGCGTTATCCACTAGACCACTTGGGCCACGAGAGCCACTTTTTGTGCAACGGTTCATATTAATTTAATTAAATTTTTGATTTTCCCGTCGACTGATTGGACCGAAGTGCTCGGTCTCAGGTTGACATGTCTGCTGGCTTCTTGTGCAGATGCTTCGACGATGTCTAGGTATGTAATAAGAATTTAATTGGTGGATGGTGACGAGTCCCAAATAGGACGAAATGCGTATCCTGGATTCCACTGCTAGTCACCACCCACAAATTAAATTCTAATTAAGTGCCCGGACATCGTCGAAGCATCTGCACAAGAAGCCGAAATGTCAACCTGAGACCGAGCACTTCAGTCCAATCAGTCGACGGAAAATCTAAAATTTAATTAAATATTATACGGTTCCTACAAAAATCCATATTTGCCAAATGACTTAAACTTTACTCAATTCTGTATTTAATTTATTACAACTAAGACTTTTAAGGTGGTATCCCGGGTATAACAGACAAAAAATAAAGAACTAATGCTTGTGTAGAGTGACAGCCACGGAGAGTATATTAATCTCTTTTAACAAACTTTTAATCTAACATAATGCTGTTGTCCGTGCCAAGTAAAACGCTAAGTCAGGTCATCCTGTAGAGAATAAAAGATGCACTGGATGCAGAACACCGCCAGCTCACCGGAACAAGCTGGATTAAGGAAAGGTAAACCACGCGCTGATCATATTGCAACTCTACGCATTGTCATCATCGAACGAAGTATACTATGGCAGTCAAACCTTTATCTTAACTTTATCGACTTCCAAAAGACCTTCGACAGCACTGACTGAGAATTAATCTGGACACTGCTTCAATACTACGAAGTTTAGTTCTCAAATCTTTATCAATCTCATTCAACAGCTGGCTATATGACAATACCACGTGTCAGGTGATCCACCAAGCAAAACTCAGCGAGGTGTTCGAAGTGCACACAGGAGTCAGACAAGCTGGCTGTATATTATCACCGATAATAACCTTAATTGTGGTGGACTGGACTACGTGTCAGACTGCGTTGTGAGTGAAAACACAGGAAAACGCAGGACAGATAATAAGACTCTAGACGACCTGGATTTCGAACACGTATGATTTATATCTAATGTCACACAAACTCGATGACTAACAGGCGAAAACTAACAAACTGGCTGAAGAAGCAGGCAGCGAAGTTAGGACTCCAGGTGAACATAGAGAAGATGGAGGTGATGAAGATAACCAACCAAGAATAACCGGAGCAAATCATAGTCAACAGAAGAGATTTAACAGAGGTCACCTCCTTCACTTACCCAAGGAAGCATCGTTTCAACTACTGGAAGTCGGAACCAATGAAGATGTCAACCAGCCGGAATCGGAAAGACAAGATACGCCTTCACCAACCTGAAACCAGTTTGGAAATCTTCTCCATTCCACTACATAAAGAGCAAGATTCGGATTTTCAACACAAATGTCAGTGAAGACAGTCAATTCTTCTATACAGCTTAGAAAGTTGGCCAGCGCGTCACGGAATGGATTTCCAACAAGTTACGAACTTTTATCAACAGCTGCCTTTGCACCAAACTGTAGAGTAAATGACAGGTGAGAAAGAATCAACTGCAAGAAACTCTGACTGAGAACAAACCAACCAAGAGCTGATTTCCCAACAAACATGTAGGAGAAAGTGTAGATGGATCAATCACACGTTGAGGAGGTCGTCTGATGACATTGTGCGTAATGCAGACCATCGCCTGAATGCAATCCCAATGGGGAGCGACGGATGGGTCGTCCTAGGATGACGTGGGAGAGACCGTGCAAGCAGGAGGAGGAGATGCGAGATTATGGTCAATGGTGGACACAGGTGAAGAGGATAGCATAGAATACAAGAAAGTGGAGAGGCCTTGTTGAAGCCTTATGTTGCACTCGGAACACAAGGGAATGATAATAACATAATCTCTACTGAAATTTGCTTCTCAGCAAGTTGTAAAATATTAAATTAACCAAAAAACTCATATCATAAAAATCCCTACGAAGAATAACTGAAAACACTTATTCTCACAATCTATGTTTAATGAGGAACTTGAATGATATCCAATGAACAGAATTACAGAATAATCTACCATCACTAAAATAGAAATAAACACATTCGATCCTCTAAAAGGTTTGCCATGATATACAAAAGCAGTAAAAGATGAAGTTTAAACTTTCAATAACAAAAATAAGTTAAAAGAAGGTCTGTTTACTTATTGCTTCGCGTTCTAATGAGTTGAAGTATTATCCACAATAACAAACACTAAATTACATAAGCAAAGCAATTCCATTTTCCACCGGTATATTAAATCAACTCCCGGGTTTATTGGTATTAAGTAGTTGAATAATAAACCTATCTATAACCTGCTTGCATGCAAAAGTTTGAATATTGCCACAGAATCACCAAGATAAAACTTCGTTGGAAGAGAAGTTGAAATGATGTCCACAACTGAATGTGAAAGTGGTATCAGCATAACTTAAAAATTTTCCTTTCTTAAAGGATTTACGATAGCAGGAATAATGTGATGATACAGACTGCTCTAAAATAATGAGTGAAATTGATATGTATCCACATAATGTGTGTTTTGTTTTTGACAGTCTATTATATTTTATTGTGTATATGGATCGATATTTCATTATAACTGACAATATGCTTTTGTCTGTCCACTAACTAAATAAACGTGGATGACCTTGTTGTTACATGACATTACAACCAATCATGTTAAGACTGTCTGTTTATTGGTTTATGTATATTAGTCATTTTCATATATACTTTTGTACTGTATACTTGTTCAGACTTGTTCCCACGTTTTTTCGTACACTACGTACCATTTCACTCACACTCTTGTGTGACATTTATTTTCATTGTCTGGTAAAATACAAGTATCATCGTAAACCTGGTGGTCTTCTGATTTCCCTCTTTCCGCGTCAGGACTATTAACTACTCGACGAGCACATAACAGAAACATACGTAACAAAGTGATAGGATAGGCCTTAGTTGCGAAAATAAAAAATGGAATTAGTGTTTGATTTTAAAATTTACCGCTTAAAGAGTAAGATGAACTTCCTAAAGTAAGTAGAAAAGATTAAATTAAATGAAACTTTCCTTCAACAAAATCGCCAGGTGAATGTTTGAAAACAACTAATAGGCCGTGTTATTTATGCTAACTAAAAAATTTTCAGTATATATACGAAACCAAAGAATCATAGTTCAAAGGCTATTTCCCAATCGTTATATTTGAAAGAATAATTTTATCTATTCCTCATTGCTGCAATGACTGATTACCAACTTTTTTGCGTGACCACTACTCTCATCTTTACGTTCTTGAAGATTTTTTATTGATTTTTATAACTAGCCGTTCGTTTATGCAGTAACTTACAATTAGTGCTCCCCATTTGTCTCGTGCGTCGGTGGCACAGTGGTAGAGTGCTCGACGACTACGCAGGTGGTCCAAGGTTCGATCCTCGGCCAACGACGCACTCATTTACCTTGCTAATCCAGTAGTAAGACTAGTAAAGAGGGAAGGTTGGGCATAAGGCTAACAACCCCATCCTGTAAAAATAATCACCACTGCCACAGAAACCGCGAGCCTCTAGCTTGAAGCCCTATGTTTCACTGGGAACGTAAAGGAATACGAAAAAATTGTCTCCCCAATAAGTTAAACTACTTAAATAATTAAATGATATTCCTAAGTTAAGAAAGCAATAATTGTTAGTGAAACAGTCAGTAAAAAAAAAGCCAAATCGTATACAACATGCGAAGTTAACTGAACATATTTAACAACTTACAGTAACACGTTTGCATGTTACATTCACTTCGAATGTATTTTGTAAACATATTGGTAGAAGTAATGTGACAGATATGAAGAGTGAACCAAGAAAATTAAGCACAGTATAGACATATGAACTTTTCAAAGTTATTAAGTAATCTGAATCAGTATTCAGTAAAACCATTGCTAATATAAAAATTGTCATACTCGTTTTTATTTGACACATAACTTGGGTGAAACGAAAAAGTTGACAAAAACGAGATTTCAGAAGCAGTTGAGTTTCTTTTCTGAAGAATATTTTATTAAAAAAAAGAAGTTAAAGAAACAATCTTGGAACTGATCTGTGTTCATTTAAAAAGCAAAAACGAAAGAGAATATAAATTTTTTTACTAGTTGATCACGGACTGATATCAGTTAGAGAAGCATTGAAAACCAGCGTCCGAGTACTGGACAGCTGCTGTTTCATCCTAGTTTGGGAATCATTGGCAGTGCGCACTCACCACAGGGGCTCGAACCCAAGGCCTTCCGGTTACAAAGCAAGGTCATATACCATGCCGATGATTCCCAAACTAGGATGAAACAGCTGTCTAGTATTCTAGCGCTGGTTTTCAATGGTTCTCTAACTGATATCAATCCGTGATCAACTCGTAAAAACAAAACTAATCCTTACAAACCAACTATAGAGAATATAAATTAGAAATTTTCAATCATTCTGCTCATAACTTGATGGTTATAATCACTTTACAATGTCAAAATACTGTTACAGTATTCTTTGGTTTTGTCAATAATTATTAATAAAACGATTAAAGTCATTTCTTAAGAGGTTATGATGATGTTTACTGAAATTCTACGTCTTTTTGAATACGATAGAGAAGATTTGTAGCTCAGGTGGATAATTTTGATGTGGTTTTGTTCTCTGAGCTGGATAGTTAGTTTGCGAAGCTTTCATCACCTTACTGGGTGACATCTTCAGCGCATACTTCAAATTGAAGTGAGCTTTTAGGTTTCTCCACGAGTTTATTAATCATTCCTCCTGGTGACCTTGAACGTGATTGGTTGTTTATGTATGTTTTCACACCTTCTAGGTTACTTGTGTTGGAACTGATTGTTTCTGTGACTTGAACTTTGGCCAATCGTGTGTGAAGTTTCTTTCTTATTGGTTGATAAATTTTGTCTATCTCGATGTGTCTATTGATTGATGATTCACTGGAATGCCAAGCTTCTAAAAATTCTCTAGCATTCTTGCTATTTCCTTTGTCTAATATTTGAACGTTGTCCCAGTCGAATTGATGTCCGTGGTTGTCTGTGTGTAGTGAAATGAGGGAGTGTATATCATGTCTTTTGACGGCTAGCTTATGTTCGTGGATACGAAGACGAAGGGGACGTCCACTTTGGCCAATGTAGTGTTTTTCACAGTTGTTACAGTTTATTTTGTAGATGATGTTGGTTTTGTCTTCTTTTGCTGTTGAGTCTTTTGGTTGACATAGAATTGAGTGCAGCGACTTTGTTGGTTTGTGTACGACGTCAATTCCTAAAGGTTTGAAGAGTCTTTTAGTGATTTCTGAGATATCCTTTATATATGGTAAGGCGATTTTCTTTGTGTTTTCCTTGGTGGCTTTTGTTTTGGTAGGTTGGCTTGGGGGTATATGTTTCTTGATGAAATTCCGGGGATATCCATTCTTTTGGAAGACGTCCATGAGATACTTTTCTTCAATTTTTCTTAGGGTGGGAGTGCTGCAGTGAGTCCTTGCTCTCTTGAATAGTGTTTGTATGCAGTTCCTTTTGTGTGCTATTGGGTTGTTGCTGTTGTAATTCAGTATTTGGTCTGTGTGAGTTGATTTCCTATAAACTTGAGTTTCTAATTCTCCTGTAGTTGTTCGCCTGACTAAGACGTCCAAAAATGGTATTTTGTTCTCGGATTCCTCTTCTCTTGTGAATTTGATGTCGTTGAAGACGTTGTTTATTAAGTTGTGAGTTTTGTCTAATTTTCAAAAGAAACGAATTAGACAAAACTCACAACTTAATAAACAACGTCTTCAACGACATCAAATTCACAAGAGAAGAGGAATCCGAGAACAAAATACCATTTTTGGACGTCTTAGTCAGGCGAACAACTACAGGAGAATTAGAAACTCAAGTTTATAGGAAATCAACTCACACAGACCAAATACTGAATTACAACAGCAACAACCCAATAGCACACAAAAGGAACTGCATACAAACACTATTCAAGAGAGCAAGGACTCACTGCAGCACTCCCACCCTAAGAAAAATTGAAGAAAAGTATCTCATGGACGTCTTCCAAAAGAATGGATATCCCCGGAATTTCATCAAGAAACATATACCCCCAAGCCAACCTACCAAAACAAAAGCCACCAAGGAAAACACAAAGAAAATCGCCTTACCATATATAAAGGATATCTCAGAAATCACTAAAAGACTCTTCAAACCTTTAGGAATTGACGTCGTACACAAACCAACAAAGTCGCTGCACTCAATTCTATGTCAACCAAAAGACTCAACAGCAAAAGAAGACAAAACCAACATCATCTACAAAATAAACTGTAACAACTGTGAAAAACACTACATTGGCCAAAGTGGACGTCCCCTTCGTCTTCGTATCCACGAACATAAGCTAGCCGTCAAAAGACATGATATACACTCCCTCATTTCACTACACACAGACAACCACGGACATCAATTCGACTGGGACAACGTTCAAATATTAGACAAAGGAAATAGCAAGAATGCTAGAGAATTTTTAGAAGCTTGGCATTCCAGTGAATCATCAATCAATAGACACATCGAGATAGACAAAATTTATCAACCAATAAGAAAGAAACTTCACACACGATTGGCCAAAGTTCAAGTCACAGAAACAATCAGTTCCAACACAAGTAACCTAGAAGGTGTGAAAACATACATAAACAACCAATCACGTTCAAGGTCACCAGGAGGAATGATTAATAAACTCGTAGAGAAACCTAAAAGCTCACTTCAATTTGAAGTATGCGCTGAAGATGTCACCCAGTAAGGTGATGAAAGCTTCGCAAACTAACTATCCAGCTCAGAGAACAAAACCACATCAAAAACTTTTTGAATACTCTTAACATCGCAACAGAGAATCATTAGAAGCTTTCGTTTGCTTACTTTTTTTATTAGCTGAAGACATCATAACTTAACGTCATGAATCCTTTAACAAATTTAGTTTCCAAAAGAAATAAGCATCAGTGAGATTAGATGCAGAGGATTGGTAGTTGTTTTGACCAATTTTGTAGCTTTATCACGTAAGTTTACCTAACAAAAAGCAGCATACTCCTCTTATAAGAAGGTAATAGGGGCTACCATAACTTAAACCCTCTTGTTCAACTAATGCAATAATTCATTATAATGAAACCTCCCTTGGGTAAAGGTTGAAACAAGATAACACATAGATAGCCCACTTCGTAATTTTCTAATCAAGTTCATAATGTAAGCCAGTAAATACTCTCTCAAAAGTTGACTAGATATCTGTAATTATTACAGTGAAATAAAAGCGTTATGAGTAAACAGACGCAATAGTATCTGTAAACTTAATTTCTCTACACCTCTCTCTATATTAATTTGAAGCTTCATAAGCTTTCCTGATGAGTGTCTTGGCTTCAGTAACTTTTATTTCTTGCTTTCTAAAGTAGCAGCATATCAATATTTTACATTTTCAACTTTCTTGTTCTATACCCCCACCCGATATAATTTCTGCACCTCATGTCATGTCATATATGTCATGTGCGTCGGTGGCACAGTGGTTAGAACTCTTGTCGACCATACACATGGTCCAGGGTTCGATCCTCTGCCGACGCACACCTGATATCAATGGTCGGCCTGCAAAATTTGGGCTACCGATATCCATGCTGAAAATTCCATACTTGTACCAAAAATACAGTGTGGAATCAAGCTGTAATCAAAAATAAAAAAATAAATAATTGTGAAACAGTCATTAATATTGATTTTGGGACCTGACATTAATGAGTGTTTTGCAATGGATGATGCTGCGTCTTTATTCAGATTTATCGCATTGGGATTTTCTATATGATTTAGTCGCCATTTTGGAACATGTCCTTTCGGACGACATTGGAACATTCTGTTGGTTCTACCTATATAGGTGTCACCGCAGCTGTAGGTGAACTTGTAGATATAGTTTGAAGTAGAGTCCACAGAATTTCGTCCTTTAATCGTAGGTACAGGGATCGAAAATGTTCGGCAAGTGAGAAAAAGAGATGTGGCGTAGAATGTGCGTTTGATGGCTGATCGAAGTCTTTGAGCTGTCAACTGCATAATCTGGTCCCCTTTGAATGGTAGGTTAATAAAGATAGCTTTCTTTGGTACAGAAGCTGTCTTTTCGAGATGTGGTCTTTCTTTAGTGTGGCAAGTCATAAAGTTTTACGGATAACCATTAGCTAATAAAACTGAATGTATGTATCGAAACTTATCCATCAATGTGTCACTCGTGCATAATTCTCGGGCCCTTGAGAACAAACATTTCACTGGGGAACTTTTATACTGGATAGGGACAAAACTGGTAAAATGAAGATATTGTCCACTCAATTTCTAGTCATTTATGTTACGTCATCCAATTTGTTTGCTCACTTTTAGTCCTAATTTAAATAGCATTATTCTCCACCCCACTTCTACTTAGTTTCTACCTGTAATTACTTCTGTTGCTATCTTGACCCAAGTTAAAACATTGTAGCCAATTATATTGCGTCATCTAACTAACTGACTCACTTAACCTTGTTTCTATATTAGATAATTAATGTATTGCCCGATTAACTATCTAAACTTGACAAACCCTATGTACACACACACAAAGATTATTATACATAAATGCGAGTATACAGCTACGTGAATGAATTCGCCAAAAAGAGTCTCTTCGCTGAACGTCTTCTCTTTTTCATATGACTCAATGGGGATTTTTAATATAAGAATAGAACTTGTGCACTTTAGTAGGGTATAATTCTATTATGAGTGAAATTTATTTTGATAAAGTCTCATAGTGTTATGCAGTATTATTTACTGGCGACATTTTGAGCACAATTTATTGCTCATAACCATATCAAGGGGATCTTCAAGCTACATGCATTAGATGTATTGGCTAGCAATAGGTGTCCTATTACTAGGGTTATTCGAGTGATAAACAGCGGAGATAAGCTAAAATTTGAAGACAATATATAGAATATGTCCGAATAGCACAGCAGCAGGCTGAATAATATTCAACTTATTCAACAGTATAAATAAAAGGATCATATTACTCCTGAAGTACTATGCCTTTTATTTAATATTTACGGTAACTAACTTTCTTTATATAATTAACTTTGGTTTATGTTATATTAATTCCAATTTCGGGCCAGTTTACAGTTTTACTTGATAAAGTATGTTTATTGTCAACCCAGTTTGATTTCATTCTCTACTAGCTTCAAGTAATTAACTATCTTACATTTTTCTTGCGTCTGAGAACTGTCTAGCTATACTATCCCTTTTGAAAACGAATATTTCATCCCTGTCAGAAACTGTTTTGTCACTTCTTAAGTCTCGAATATCAGTAGAGTCTTAAAAGTGAAAAGATTTCTTTGATCTATTCACCTGATTTCTTTTTTTGTATTAATCCACCTGGTAGCTCTAACCGTAGTTACTACAAGTACAAACATGAAGAAAACTTAATATGAAATAATGGTAATATTGAAAAATGCTAAAAAAATTGATTTATGAGAGATATACCTTCGAAAATTACCGACGAGTTTGAAAAAAGCATCCTCCCATGTCTGAAACTTTATCGTTCTCATTCCTTTGATTATGTCAGACAGTAGCCGAATGCGACTGACCGTTGCCCTTGCGACAGATAGTCTTGAGGGAAAAGAAGGGCATTAGTTAACACCAAAAATTACTTTTATGTTATGTTATAAACCGTATATCTGAAGTGAAAAATTGGTATATTCAGATTGGACCAATTAACTTATACTCCAAGAGGGATTAAGCTGTTAATTGAGCTAGAGTTTTGGTTGAAACATATTTTGGTTCATCTTGATTATATCCTCTGAAAGCATGCTAACTTTGTTTGAACACAATGAAAGACCGTATTGACAAACTGAAACTTTCGGTATCACAACGTTTGTCAGTTTTGGCTCTAAATCACTCGTTTTACGTGCTCCCCTCATGTTCCTCATATACGGATCTTCAGTGTACTTCATGCTCTTATTTTATTCGGAATAATGACTATGTAAACCTCATGACATCCAATAAAAAGTAAGAGCACTGCTAGCCGAACATTAATTCAACGAAGAGCAACTTTGCAGATGTTTTGGTAGTAAGGAAATATATTGACTTAGTAACCAATGCTTCATAAAAAACCACCTTCTAATTTGGCAAAAAGCATGATATCAGGTTGAGCCGGAGTTCCTGTCTAGTACTAATTATTTACATTTTTTTATCCATCTGCCTATAGTTAGGCAAAATCTTTCGATGGTCATCATGACTGCTACTTTGTTTATTTTAAAACAAGAGCTTGTTCAATACCAGTAGACACATGGTCTAGCACCTCTTATATGCTATTATATAAGTAAAATGGAATAGATGCTCACGGAACTCAAAGAGAAGGTCACTGAAGTGGTAATTAAAAATGTATCTGACCATGACTGTGACTATAAGGGTGAATTAAAGTAAAAGTAAATTCTTTTTCCCTGTCAAGCAGCTGATGATTATGATCATTTTCTCATAAGAAATACTAGGAGTTTCAGTAGCACATGTAACAAGCTAGCAGTAAAGACGACATCACAGCTATGTATCTTTATTACCTTACCACTCCAACTTTTAATCAAGATCTCATGTGGAACTTTGAAGGCTATGTCCTGTGAAAGAGTTTAGCAATCAATGATAAGTAGAAAAATCGATCATTTTTGTGAACTATTTGTACTCTGGAAATCTCATAGATGCAGTCTGTAAACTGAATATTTTAAATTAATATCAGTCCCTCCAAGACGCATTATTTTGGTAACATGATGTCCATCACTTAGTTACCTTTTCCCTAACGTTTTCCTCTGATTATAAAATAACTGTATTTGTACATGCAAACTCACCAAAACATACCTCAACTTGGAATACATTTTGTTCGAAATAAATCCCAAAGGGATATTGAGAAGCGTAACAATGAGTGCACAGATACTAGGTATTAATGCAATCCGACTCATTAGCCAAAATATTACAGCAAACTGAATAGGTGCAAGCCAAAAGTAATTCAAAAGTCCAAAAGCCTAAAAATAATTCGGGGTAAATTTCAGAAGTAAAAAGCCAAACTTCATAAAAATTCTGGTTTTTTAATAAAATTGTTTGAGGTGAACCTCATCATTTCTAATTAAGTTAAAGCATAAAAGTTGTATTAATCCACACTTCACACCTGTTGTTGCAATATCATAAAATGACCTTTCTTAGAAAATTCACATGAACTGCATACCAAAGACTACGAACAGTGTATATATAGAACCGTAAATTACGTTTAAATGAATCATTGTGCTTGCTATGTTTTGCATATAACGTTTATCCCTTTTGTTACAATATTAAAAGAAGTGTTTATTTGTGGTGGCAATAATTTTATGTGTTTATCTGCCATATAATAACTTGTGGATCCTAGAGAAGCCAAAACGACACGCATGTAAGCGCTTAACATCAATTAAATACCAAACTACCATATGCATTAAGCACTAAAATAAATCTAGTTGGATAACTGATATTAATTAACTTGGCGTTGGAACTTTTGGAAACTCTATGTGATCAGTTTTTACCTTTAGACTGGAAAAATGGGCCAGCCGATAACTAAACTTAGGTCTAGAAAACAATAACCCCAAAAAAGTGATCTACCGTGCATACACTTATTTTTATTCTACAGGAATAAATTTAAAATAGTTGGCTCAAAATAATGGATTTTGTATACTCAACATCGAAGGAAATACACTGTAGAGCACCCAGTAAATGTATCCAAAAACCACAACAATTCCTCTTCACAAGACAGACCTCATCTATCGACAATCTTAAGCCTATTTGTGCTGACTGACATTCACTATAAATTAGCTTTTAAAAACTTACAAGTAAGAAATAAAGTTGGAGTGATTATGTGGATAATATTGTAACAACAACCTTAGGGTATTTTCAATTATATATGGTTGCGCAAATCTGAGAAGCCATCTCCGAAACATCTTCAGCAATTAAAGTCCATCTTCACTTCTTCCCAATTCCAAAAGTCGTTAATTGTCGTGACCAAAAGTACAGGGATTTATTGAGTTTACGAGCTCGTTTCCAGTCTTAATTTGCCAGCCGAGAGCATCCTTACGCTTGTTCGCAAACTTCAAATATACAGTTTGAGTCCATTTAAACTGTTTCACCTTTTTAATCACAAAATAATGCAGTGTTATTTACTTCTGATGCTTCGAATCAATTTGCTACTGATGATCATAACAAAGGTTATTATTTAGATTAAATCTTTTGCATAAGAATGGTGCATTTCACCTGCCTAAATATACTAACGCCGTATTTACGTTTTTATTCACCTGAGCAGTTGAAACAAATCAGTTTTAAAAGCTGTGTACCTCCTGGTATATTTACATATCCATTTAAGTTTTAAGTTCTTAAACAATTTCATTTTGATTCGGGGCATCTTATGTTGCCAAATACATTTTTTGGGGGGTTGCTTGTCAACAAAACTGAGATAAATGACTCGCTCAAGACATTAAAAGCAAAGAGAATCGGAACCACCGTCACAGCACTTTGGTTTATTGGTATTTTATTAGTCAGAAAACTAGTGATCAGTTTAATAAAACCGTTAGAATACAATGGTAAAAGAACAAGGCTCTCAGCGTTTTGGGGAAGACCGACAGTGAAGCTTATTGTATCTCGTTTTGTCAGTTAATTATCACAACTTAGAAGAGCTTGATTAACTTTGTTCAAGAAATTCAAGTTTACTTAATAAATCTATAGTCTCTAAAGGTTTAAAACCTTCAAATCATTATGAATTAACACTTGTATAGATAATCTTCAGTCAAGATAAAAAATTGGAACCATCCATGAACGTCTGAGCAATATAAACGGGGCAAATGTGTAAGTTATTTAAAAACTGCAGAATTTTAGTTTTAACAAGCATGAAAATGTGTCCTCTGCAGTGATATGAAAATCGAGTTCCTGTTAAAGTCCTTACTATCAGCTGTCGTGTGGTTTTGAAATGCGTGAATATAGAAATTACCTCACATATAATCAAGATTGTCCTTTTCAAATGTAAAATAACTGACTAGATACCTTTCTTCAGGTCCGTTTGTTTGTTTGTATGCATATAAAGTGTTAATCGAAAACCAGTGTATTCCATGGGTTTGACACTAATGGTGTTCGAATGTAGCAGTTAAATATCTCACAAATCATCAATGTTGTTGATTCCTCCGGGTGAATATACTGCAATAAATTGCTACACTGTTGGCATTATCTTCATTATTTGTTGGAAAATCGCAATATTTGAATTGAAATTTATATCTGCAATCTATGAAATTTATTATCGAACTAAATTTATGGTGGAATACAAAACGTTTACGATAGATAGACTTCAAGATTCGTGTTTAATAATGCAACACACGATTTTAAAACGTCAAGTAAACCTTTGGTGCAGATGACATACAGAAAGAAGCATAGAAAAGAACTAAAACTTTTCCAACAATCTACTAAAATAAAAGCATAAATAAAGAATGTAAAAGGTACAACACAATGTAACATATATGCCTAACTTTCGGAAGGCATCGGCCAACAACTGTTGACGATGCATGTGTCTAAAATCTCTTACCACATCGAATCTTTGTATATCGGCAGTTAGCAGGGTAATAATATCTCCACTTGTTGTTTCAGCCAAAGACTTTTGACTGAAAGCAAGCATCTAAAAATTATGGGCTAAGTAAGGCAGTGTAAAACCTTTTTGAATATCAGGCCAGCGACTGCAACTCGAAGACGCATTCCAATTCTGTTGGTTATCCAAAAGGAAGTATTGTATGAAATGGCTCCAAATGTAATACACAGAGCTAGATTTAAACCGGAAACAAAGGCTTTGTACACCACATTGTTGACCTTCATACTCTCTATATCCAAAAGCACCTGCTGCAAAAGTATCGGACGTAACGTACATGTTGTTATCTAGAGAAAGAAAAACTTATAAAAGGGTAAATGTTACAAACGTCTACAAGCAAAAAAACACCTGCAAGGAAAATGTGAAACCAAAAACACCGTATAGCTGCCAGCCAAATACTTGGCTTCCGTTTTGACAATTCCTTAATCCATTCTCTGAAATTCACGAAAACGTTAATATGCATACTTTTCTAAATCATCTGTGACACGAGCAGCTGCTTCCGAAGTTGGTCTGATGTATATTTCCTTAGAATTCAAAGGACCACGTCTGGCAGCCTTAAATAGAGGATTTAACCAAGTTAGAAAGAGTTTAGATAAGATATTTGCTTTTCGATATGGTGATTCTATCATTTATGGCACCTCGAAGACGTAATAAAATATTGAATTTGAGTCGAAAGGCTTCACGCTGCATCGTGTTCAATATCCAATATCGGTTTTACGAGCTAGTATAAACCAATTTGATTTCTTTGTGCTCGCTTCTTGATTGTAAGGTATAGGTTCCTGATCTTCGGTAAACTTCTGCGTAGCTTGTCCCGCCACTCGACTGTCGTAGCTTTGGTTGACTCCAAAGGGAGTAGTGCTGGGATTAATTATATGTGGTTTGTAGTATCAGGTATGTTAAGACTGTTACTACTGTGATTGGAGTTGATCCTTTCGCCAGTTAGTCCTCCGGTATCGTCGACAGGAGAAAAGAGATAGTAATAATAATGATAACAACGATAATATATATAATTAGTGAAGTTATTCAGACTAAGGGAGAGAAACGGAAATAGGAAAGCGTAACAACAGTCAGCTCATTAAGTTTGAAGAATAATATATATATCGGTAATAATAATAGTAATAATAATTATAATATTAATAAGTTGTCAGGAGAGTAAGACGGGAGGGAATGCAAAGAAGTAAAACGACGGGTTTAATTGTCTACCCCTGAGCGGTGTATGCGATTTTAAGGAGATAGGCCATTTGGATGCAGTCCTTGTGTCGCTGCATGGTTGTTCAGCCTTCGCTTAAAGGCGTCCAAAGACGGTGACATAGCTACGTCTGCCGGTAAGGAATTCTAGGGACACCAAACCCGCAGTGAAAGAAGTGGGAGCGCACCCGGGTCCTTGCCCTCTGGTGAGCTATCCTTCTGTTCAATAACCAATGTAAATATGGAAAGCTTCCAGAAATCTCTCGAATCGCTGGTATTCTCTGCTGGTACGTCAGAATATTTTAAGGTTTCCAGGAAATTAAGAACATCCATCCGGTCGACTAATACAGTACTACTGTCCATAAGGAATAGTCATAAACATATTTTCATTCAGTGCACTGGAGTTGCTGCTACTTTTAATCATCATTTAGTCTGAGGCTCTCTTGAATTGACCAAACACACCGTAGCGGTAGACAATTGCCAAAAACTATGAGCCGCAGCACTCATCAATGAACATTGAATGCTGCCTCTCCCTGTTCGAGTCGACTAGTTAAGCTGGAAGCTCACGGTCAAGCATCCACACCATTCGGTAAACTGTTGCGTTATGTTCGTTCGTTTGTGCATGATACCTAGCTAGTTGAGCAACCCACCTGTCACTCCAATTTGATCCCGAAATATACTGGGTGATGATATAGGCTATGACAAGGTGTTCTCGCGCAATTTCATCGGTTACAGCGTTCACGGCTACAGGCGTTATAATCGCCTATTTTTTTGGAAATATATTATATTTGACTAGTTTTAGACTTCTGTAGTCAGATGGCAGTATTTTGTTCTTAGTAGAACGTAAAATCGTGTATCATAGCTCGGACGAATTATCAATGAAGAAGTTATCCTTTTTAAGAAAGTTCGCATAGAAAGACTATTATTTGCATTATAGTGCGTTGAGGGTTTGTTATTTGCGAGTTGTTTCAGATCTTAAGGTTGTAAATATACTGCAGGCAATGGATGTCGTCATTCCAGTGAATCAATGAGAATCTGACCTATAAAAGAGAAGTAGCATGCAGACATAGGTTAGATGTGTGTTTTGAAGATTTTAAACACTTCTGTTATCATCCGGGATGGCCGAAATATTCCATAACACATCGACGACATTATGCGATGAATGAGACAGGCTGCTGAATTTCCTGGTGATTATATCTATTTTGATGAAGTTCCTAGTTAAAACTGTCTAGGCGAAGATGTGATAATAGTTTAATTGGCATTTGCACATGGAATTTCAGAAGGCCTTAATTGCTCAGTACATGAAATGGCATCAGAGTATATTGACATCAGTGTTCATCCTGTCTCGAAGAATAGTATAAATAGTTCTTCTCAAATGTCAGAGTACTTAAAATGAGTATCAGCTTTCTGTTGATTAGTAGCTAACAGCTGTGTCATACAACTACTACACCTGTTACATAGGCCATATCAATCTTAATAATTATTTTGTTTCACATCACTAAGATATTCTGAGATCCTTAATGACTTAATTGTGGCTATGAAAGATATGGAAGATGCACTTATGGCTCATATATTTAAAGCAGTTATTATTAAACAAGTTATCTGTGATGTTCTGAATACTGCAGACTGTTGATAAGAAACTGCATCAAAGGAAAAAATGCCGAACAGCTAGAAAATACTACTGCAGTTTCGTTGATTATTACTTTTTGCATTTGTAACTCATCCTTCCAAAGCTCCGATTGACGCCAAACCATCCATGGTACCCTACAGAAATTTGTGAGAGATCTTACATGTCAGGTTGTCTTACAAATTGTAAGGTTGCAGATATTTCAATTTACCTGTCACTGAAATATCACTCATCTACTTCACGATGGTCTTTTTATTTGTGCACTATTACACTACATTTTATCTTAACTGGATATGCCTTTATTAAAGTTGAGACCTACTCTTTGTGCCTATTAGTTGCTTTCTTATAGTCTGGTTGCTTTTATTAGAAACACAACAGCACCATTGTTTGAACAAAGCTGTATTTTCATGGTAAACGTCATATTTTCTATGCTTACACCAATATGGTTAGCATTAAACATTGCAAATGTATACTAACATTCCAAAGACATAGCACTTAGCCAAATGTACAGTGTTCATTGTGAAGGGTTTACAATTTAACTCTTATCACAGCGTGTTCTAATTACTCGTACAATAGTTGAAAGACTACAACTTTTGAAGATGCACTAATTTATGATACTTTACAATGTGTTTGGCAGTGAAAACCACAGAAGAATGCTGTCATGAACAAGGAATGAGAAAGGAGAATGAATCATTTTCAGCAAAGGTAGGCAAATATAAAGCGTATAACTTTAACATTACTTCTTTCTTACTACAGCGATTTAAAAAACACTTTGTTTACTTATTTGCAGATATCCGGTAACGTCAGTCAACCCGGTCACAGTGATTCGACATTGCCCAAATTATTACGACGAACAACTGCGTAAAGACATTTGCTTGTTATTATTTTTCATTAAATATATTTAACATCCTGCTTACCAGACCTTTCTTATTCTATCTGAGTGTAGATATATTTGTCATGATGACTAGATGCAGGCATGACTTATTAATGAGACCTGACGAAGTAATTGGTGGCATATATTAGTGTAAGGTAAATCTAACTACGAGTGCTAAAGCTGAACGAATTCAATAATTTGTCTCGTGTAGACTTCAATTTACGCTACATGTTAACAGCCTTAGTCATATGGATTGACATCACGCTTTAAGTGAAACATTAGTAATGCAATACTTTAGAATACACGTAACCGTATAAGAACTGGAACTCGAATGCAGTGCCTAAGTTATGCCTACTATTGTCATTTGTCCCTAAAGACTTGTATATGACTATGAGACGTATCCACGTAACTTCACTAAAATAATTATAATTTAACACGTATGACGACCGACATCGTTCCTACACAATTACACTTACGTATAGTTAAAGTCCTAGAGAGCACCGGTCTAGCATGCCGTGCTCACTAAGGGAACACATGAATTGAAAGACAACAAGATTGACATGAAAATTTTATTTTAATTATGATACAAATTCAGTTTATTTACATATTGAGTACGATTGATTCCTGCGATTACTTCTGCTGAATAATTCCTGGCAAACACTTCTCCAAATTTGTCATTAATTCTCCTAATGCCCGCATTCATAATACTTATATAGGTTTCCAATGGCACTTCGATTTCGAGGGACAACTGCTGACGTGCTTTGAGATGCGAACAAGTTGCGTGACCACGTCCATTGTTTACAATTCTGCATCACATGGTTAACTACAAAAGGTGGAACAAAAAACGTAAAGATAACTATGAACTGAATATTACAGGTGCAATGATGGTAGTGCTTGTGTCCTGTTTCCAGTTAAGGCATGTACACACGAATACGGTAATGAAAATTACAACTTTCCGTATATAAGAACATTAATTAATTAAGTTTCGGTCGACATACATTAAAAACGGAGTCATAAAAACGCAAATATACCTGTAAAATATGGCTTTCTGAAATGGACCAAAAGCAAGTGTCGGCAGGGGTACCGACAGGTCTGAAATGTAACACACGTGCAGGTGCAAGCACTCAGATCAACCTCCACTCTATTCCCATTGTCTTGGAAGAATACATAATCGAAGGATTCAACCTCAACAAAGCCCATCGTCGCCTTTCGTATTCACGGATACCTTCCTCGCAGCGTATGGCGTCAGCAATCGTATAATTGGGATTAGACGTTGTGAACAGGGATAGGTGAAGCATCGCGACTGAGCAATAATCGCCTCCTGCTGTATTCTTGAAAAACTTTGTTGATACCATTTATACACCTTCAGCATACTTTTATGCAGACTATCTGATCTTTGCAAGTACCGTTTCATTTGCTTGTGGGAACTCTCGACGCGATTATTTGTATCATTCCCAAAAGTCAGCACGTTGTCTCTGAAACATGCTGCCCACAATTCTCGTCGATGCATCCAACGACGTTGTAGATATTGACTGACAGTAGCATCCAATCTGCTAATAACTCTGAAATAGAAATTAAATCTGGAAAATGAGAACATTAAAGGCATTACTCTGATCTCCTTTTACACTGCACTAGACGGCATAAGTAGTTCTTCACAATGGGATTTCTTGTCTACGAATAAAATGTAAAGTATGCTTTGAAAAACTTACTTTACGACAGAATGCTCGGCAAACATGGAAAGAACACAAAACAATGTGCGCTTGTCTGTGCGTTAACTTGACGGCTGCTATTTCAGCTTGCGCACAATCCATAATGAAAGATTCTGTTTTGGAGGTATCTTCCATTATTCGACGAAAACAGTCTAATATCCAAACTACATCACGTTTGAATTCTTTTCTAGTCCACGCAAATAAAACTGGTCGTCCGCGACCAAAATTATC